CTTTTTCCAATGAAGTCTTCCTAATGCAGGACATTCGTCACCATGTAGGGCATCATGCACCATGTGCCTCAGAGAGGGCGGACATTTGACCTCGGAGTGACAGTGTTATCCCAGAGAAAGGACATGCATGGGCAGTGGCATCAGTAAGGTGGGGGTCACCCCCATCTGGAAACACAGGGGGTCACATCCTCACCCTTAGGCCTATGGATGCAGAACACTGACCAGGAAAGCGTGACTGGAGAAGCCTTCTCCACCGAGACGGTGCTCCTGCTCATTCCACTCACCAGACCAAGGTCATCTGGGAGACAAGGAGGCTGGGCCATCCCCACCCCTCCTGGTACAGCTAGTGCCTTGCTGCTCACCCCCACCTTTCCCCACCACCCAGGGAGCTTCCCCCCATCTCCCTCTGGCCAACACGGAGGCCCTCTTCTCAGTCGCGTGGTGGGCGTGCGTGTCCATGCGTCTGCGTTTGTGACAGCCTCCGGATGACTGTCAGGTTAACACCAACCCTAGTGACATCACAACTTTAGAGGGTCTCCCCCCACCCCTTCCCCCAGCAGCAGCACACCAACCCCCGTGCCCTGTGCCCATTTTAGTTGTCAGGGGATGTGATCTCCTACCCCTGCCCCCCAGGTGGCACCAAGGTACACAGACCATATAATCTGGGAAAACCAACAAGTGGCGCTCCCACTGCTTTGGGGTCCATTCCAACCCACGGAGATGCCACGGGACTGAGTGGAACGACCCATGGGCTTTCCACGGCTGTCGATCAGTCTGACTCGGGCCTCCACATGTTTCCCCAGTACAGCGGATGGTGGCTTCGCATGGCCCTTTCACGGACATTGTGTAAAGTGTGGGGGGAGAGGGGGTCAGTGGAAAAAAAAAAAAGAGAGAGAGAGAGGCCGGTCCTCTATGAGATGGATGGAGACTGGCGGCTACGTTGGGTCTGACAGCACAACAGTGAGGATGGCCGAGACCGGACGGCGTTTCCTTCTGTTGCCCACAGGGTCTCCAGAACCCCTCACCAACACCACGGCCAAGGCCATTCCAACTCACCGCTATTGGGGGCTTCCTCTTCTCCTCTTGGGTCCGGTCTGTAGCCGCAGGACACAAATCTGCAAGAAAAAAGAGAAGTTGTGTGGCAGCAGGCCCCTCCATGCTCCCAGAGCGGCTCTTGGGACATGGGATGGAAGAGCCACCTGAGAGATAGTCAGTTCACAGGGCCGTTGAGCCCTCGTCCCTTTTGGGATGTGCTGTGCATCCCAGCTTCCGTGCGTGAGGTTCCAACCCTACTGCGGAGGGCGCTCTCTTACACAAATAGAAGGACGCAGGTGGGATGTGATCAAGTCTCCACCTTCCTAGAAGGGGTGAACCACGTCACGTTTCTTGGGGATATGGCCGGCCCAAAGTCCGAGAGCCACACCCCTATCAAAGCCACCCCCCTGCGTGTAAGAGAACCATCTCAGAAGCAGAGAGAGGTGTCCTGGGACCCGCACGGAAGGCGAGCCAACAGTGCAGCACATTCAAATCCCCTGCCTGAAGAGACACAGGCTCTGCCCTGCTGCAACCGGCGGCCCAGGCAAGAAGACCATGAGAGAGAGCCGAGGAACAGCCAGCCGGCTTCCTGGCCCACAGAGGCCGAAGCCAAGGGACCAGAGGGCTGAGAGGCTGAGGACCAGAGGAACAGAGACCTGGCTGCTGGCTGCTGACGGGCACTGCAGTGCACCCATGACGGTCCCCACACTGTTTCCTCATCTTGCCCTTAACTGTTCACTCCCCTGACAAGCTCCACGAAGGTGACTTCTGTCTGTGAAGTCTGTGTGGCCATGGCAACAAAGTAGGGGACCGTGCAAAACAAAACAAAACAAAGTCACGTCGGGGGAGGAGCGGTTGTCAGAACATGTAAAGAAAGAGGGAGGCGGATGTGACCTCTGCCTGGTGGCAATCGGTCTTGGGCAGGGTGGGGGTTGGGAGAGGGATGGAGAGGGGCTCTCATTCTCTCTTGTGCAGCCAGACAAGGTCAGATAGGGCCTTTTCCAGACCACTTTACTCAGCTGTGGCCACCAACATATTCTCACTCGAATCTGCTGCTTTGGTGGCCCTCGTTCCTGCTCCAGCCCCCGGCCCACGCTCACCTGCTGCCTGGCGCCTTTGACACCGGTTCGTGGTCTCCATAGTTCCTGGGCTTGGAGACAAGATGTTTCCCCAGGCCTGTTCTCACTGGGCAGAAGGATCAGCCCCAGAGTCTGACGGAAGCGATCTCAGGTCCAGAAGGCTATCGGCTGCCTGGAGTGACGTCTTCACAGCTCAGGTGGGAAAGTCCTCTTGCTTTCGGGTGGCCAGACCTGCGGGAAGGAGCGTGCTAGTGCCGGATGCTCGTGGGTGCTGCACCCAAGCCTCTGCAGCAGGGGGAGCCGGGCCTCTCACACCGTCCTCGGCAAACACTCACAAAGCTCCGTCCACTCCAGGTCTTTGGAATCTCTACCTAGAGTCCTCTCTGGTCTCTGAGTCCTCACGTCTGTTCCCTTCTCTGTCCATTTTTACAACACCCACACCCTCAGACTCCAGCTCCATGTCCTAGATCAGTTTCTGCTACTCTAGTCGGAGAAGCCCGAATACAGCCCAATGCCCGAGAAGGAGGAGGAGCTGATGACGGCTGCCGGTAGGCCGGTCAGGGCACACAGCTTTTGCCCGCATGAGGCCAAGTGCAACTCACCATGTCTCTGTAGTCCAAGCGGTCGGTGGTCTGCATGGAACTCCTCCTGGTCTCGCTGTGACTTCTGCAAAACATAAACCCACAGGTCCTACTTGCTTGTCTATCTTACCACACCCTTGCCAGTAGCAGTCCTCCACTCCTATGGTCCATTTGGGTGCTATTAGAGCAAGGGTGCCGCCATCCGAGGCTCCTCAGCGGGAGTGTCCAGGACACTCACCCACACGATGGCAGTCCTACTGCTGCCTTCTTGTTGGCTTTAGCTGCCGCTGGGTTGACTTCAAACGCATGGCGTAGAGTAGAACATCCCTAGTCTGTGTTCTTTCAGAGGGGGATTCCTCCTCCCCCATCTTCTAAAGCACATCTGGGTGGGTGTCCACTGCCAATCGTTCAATCAACAGTCAAGAAGTTAACCGTGTTCACAGTGGAGATCCATCTGTTGATCATCAGAAACTCCCTCACGGAAGGGACGACTCATCCAGGGTGCAGTGAAGCTCCAACGTAACACACAATATTCCTCTGGTTCTTTAATGCTTCCTCCCCCCACTATCTTGGCCCCAGTTCGACCTAAAAAATCCTGCTAGAGCGGCGTTATGTACATTGGTACAGATAAGAGCTTTTGACACAGGGAATTCAGGATAGATAAACCCCTCAGAAACAGTTATGGGAGTAACGATTCCATGTGAGTACAGGAAAGTGGGGGGACAGGACTGGTAGCAATGATGGGTGCATAATCTCCCTTGAGGGGGACAAATAACAGAACTGTGGGTGAAGGGAGACACCAGATGGTGTAAGATATGAACAAATATATACACGTGTATAATTTATTAAGACATGAAAAAACAATAAAAATTTATAAATTATCAAGGGTTTGTGAGTGAGGGAGAGTGGGGAAGGGGAGGGAAAAAATGAGGAGCTGATACCAGAGATCAAGTAGAAAGAAAATGTTTTGAAAATGATGATGGTAGTGGGGAGGGAGGGGGGGATAAAGGAAGGAGCTGATACCAAGGGCTCAAGAGAAAGTAAATGTCTAGAGAAGAACGAAGGCAACATATGTACAAACTCGCCTGATGCAAGAGATGTATGGATTGTGACAAGAGCTGTAAGAGCCCCCAATAAAATCTGTTAATAAAAAAATAAAATATTATATTTATACAAAAAAAGATGGCCACAAATGTACAAATGTGCTTGACACAATGGATGGATGGATGGATGGATTGCGATAAGAGCTGTATGAGGCCCCAATAACATGATTAAGAAGAAAAAAAAGGAGACACAAAGGCATACGGAAACAGTACTAGACGAAGGGACTAAGCAAACCTCAGGCTCCACAAGTTGAGACCAGAAGAACTAGAGGGTGCCTGGCTACCCCTACCAACTGTTCTGAAATGGAAACGTCGCTTTAGAAGGTCCTTGTTAAGAGTGAGAGAAAATGGGAAACAAAAATCAAAACCATAAAAGAGAACAGTCAAACAGAGGGACACCCCCCAAAATTATAGTCCTTAGTCCAATTTCTGAACTCACCTCTGATGGTAGACTAGTTCACCATTTAAGATCAAAGGCAGCATTTACCCAACGACAAAGCTCAAAGGGCTCAGAGAGGAGGAGAAATGAAAGCCATGCACAGGGAGAGAGCAGTATGAGCAATATTTCCCTGGGGAGACTGCGATGGGCGCAGTGAAGTAAAACATGTACAGCTTGTGGCCAGCGAGTTCACTCAGTGCCAAGTCTGTTGCCCTTTACCATCTAGTACGCCCGAAACTTCATATCCGCTGTCTTCTCTCCTGTCACCTTACAGCCGTGTGGCTGACGTCACAGTGAATACCCGTCCCATTGCTACACGTCGCTCGTGTCAAACTGTAGCGTCCAACCAGGTCTTTTTTTCCCTTTTGAAATCTCATCTTCAAAGGCAATCAGGATTAGAAAATCGATCTCGTTGCCATAATTTCGTCACTGAAAATTATGTCTGAAAAACCATAGCACACTTATCCCTCAGCCTGATCATCAGACCCTGGCTGCAATCCTTTGTAAAAAAAAACACCTAGATAGGCATTTTTCTTTTTTTAATTTAGAAGAGCAGAAAATATAGGGAAAGGTACCAACCCGAAACTCATGACTTGGGGTGTTCCCCACCTACTCCCCATCATAGAGAAAGCTTCCACCAGACTGATCATCTCGAGTATTTAAAAAGAAACAAATGAGAGGACCAAAGCCACATAAAGGTGAACTTTTTCTATTTAAACCCAACCCAAGTTACTCCGACATGGGGTTGCTTCCGTGGTAGAAAGCTTCCTGCTGACAAGGAACAGTCAGGAATGCATGTTGCCAGCAGATAATGCCATTGTTAATGGGTGACCAGCCCAACAGAGATCTTTGACCTCTTTTATCAAGGAAGTGCTGGTTAACAGGATGTCCCTTGAGAAGGACCAGCCCAGAGGAGCTTGCATCACCACTTGTTACATAGGGATAAACGCCGCTGGAGAAGTAAAACAGGGTAATAAACCAATTTGCCAAGGAGCTCCTTGCTTCCACTTTATCTCCATCCTCCAAATAAAAATGGCTGTCATCCAGTCTGTTCGGACTCAGAAATCTTATACGGGGTATCCAAAACCTTGTACATAGACCAAGAGGCAGTTGAACAAGATAAGAAAATGCTCCTTTAGGCTCAAGTAGAAAGTAAATGTTTTGAGCATGATGATGGCAACAACTGTACAAATGTGCTTGACACCATGGATGGATGGATGGATTGTGATAAGAGTTGTACGAGCCCCCAAGAAAATGGTTTTAAAAAGAAAAGAAAATGTTCCTTTAAAATCAGGAAAGTGTGACTCGGTTGTATTCTTTCAACATAATTAATTAATCTATGGGTCAACCAAATCCTCTGAGAAGCTGGATTGCACTGTTTTGTTGTTGTTGCTGTTGTCAGGCGGTTGAGTTGGTTCCAACCCATGGTGACTCTAGACGCAACAGAATCTGTACAGCACCATCCGGTCCTGGGCCGTCCTCACAATTGTTCCTATGTCTGACTCCATCGATACTGCTGCTGTGTCCATCCATCTAACCCAAGGGCTTCCGCTTTTTTACTGCCCCTCCACTTTACCGAGGAGGGGCAGTCCTTCTCCGGGGACTGGTCTCTCCTGACATTTCCAAAGCACTTGACATAAAGTCTCACCATCCTAGCCTTTAAGGAGCACTCTAACCATACTTCTTCCAAGACAGATTCATTTGTTATTTAGGCAGTCCGTGGTACTTTCATTTTTATTTATTAATCGTTTGATTGGGGGGGGGGGCTCTTGCAAATCTCATTAGCAATCTATCATTTAATTGTATTAAGCACATTTGTACATGTTGCCATCAACATTTCCAAAACCTTTTCTATCTACCTTTCTACTTGAGCCCTTGGTATCAGTTCTTTTTTCCCCCCTCCCTTCATGCATCCTTGATCAATTATATATTATTATTATTTGGTGTCTTATACTGTCCGTTGTCTCCCTTCACCCAGATTTCTGTTATTCATTCCCCGGGGAAGGGCTATATAGCCAACCTTGTGATGGGTTCCCCCTATCTCCCCACCCCACCCTCCATCTCTCTACCCTCATGAGATCGACTCCCACTACTGCTCCTGAGGGGTTTATCTGTCCTGAATTCCATATGTCCAGAGCTCTGATCTGTACCAATGTGTGTACTCTGGTCTAGCTGGATTTGTAGGGTAGAACTGGGTCATGGTAGTGGGTGGGTGGATGGGGGAACAGAGGGAAGTATTCAGGCACAAGAGAAATGTTGTGTGTTTTGTTGGTGCTATAATACACCGTGGTTGAATCATCCCTTCCTTGTGACCCTTCTGTGGGGGGATGTCCAATTATCTACAGATGGGCTTTGGGTCTCCACTACAGCCCCTCTCTTTCACATCGATATAATTGTTTGTTTTGGAACTTTTGACACCCGATACCCGATCCCATTGACACCTCATGATCACACAGGCTGCTGTGTTTCTTCCATGTGTGGTTATCTGCTTCCCTACCAGATGGCTGATTGTTTAACTTCAAGCCTTTACGACCCCAGGCACTGTATCTTTTGATAGCTGGGCACCATTCGCTTTCTTCACCACATTTGCTTATGCACCCATTGTCTTCAGTGATGGTGTCAGCAAGGTATCAAAGAGTGTCAGGTTATTAGGACAAAGTGTTCTTGTGTCTTGAGTAGAGGCCCGAATTCCATCTATCTTAATACTTAGCATATAAACATATGTACATTGGGCTCTATACCTTTACTTATAAACTAATATATTTACATATATACATGCCTATAGCTATACCTCTGTAAATAGCTTTTGCTTCCTTGCTCTTTCCTGTTTCCTTTTACCTTCCTCCTGTCCCACTATCATGCTCACCCTCCATTCGGCTCTCAGTAATTCCTCTCAGACACAATGCACTTGTTCAAACCCCACCAGGCATTATACGCCCTCCTCACCATCAATTTTAGATCTCTTGATCCTTTATCCCTGTTTGTTGGCTCCCTGCTCCCCCTCCCCTCCTATGTCCCCACTGGGTCCACCAGAGAGGTGGTCTTCTCCTCAGGATTGTTTGTCCTGCCCCCACTCAACTACCACCTGGGATGTCTCCTGAACCCACCCGCTGACCCTGGAGGGCCGAGTAAAACTGACACATAGGACTTCCAAACCCATCTCTCTGATGGGAAGCGGACTGATCCCTCCATCTTTCACCTGGAAAGTGACTGGTGTTTGAAACGGCTTTGCACTGCGGTTAGCAGCTCGGCCCTGAACCCCGCTGCCACCAGGTCTCTTTGGGGGTTTTATTTAGGCACTGCCATAACCCAAGGAACCCTGATGGCGTCATGGGTGAAGTGCTGCACTGCTGACTCCAAGATGAGCAGTTTAAAACCACCGGCCTCTCCCCGGGAGAAAAGAGAGGCCATCTGCCCAGGTAAAGATTTCGTCTTGGGAAACGCACAGGGGCAATTCTACTCTGACTGACAGGGTCGCTATGAAAGTGAGTGACCGTAGCCTAACCTTAAAATTTACGAGAAATCACGCATTCCTTCAGTGACCCGGAGGTTCACGACCCAGAAGGCAGCTCCTGTCCCCCAACATAACAGGAATTCTATCGCCTCAGCGCCAGCGTTAACTCCTCCTCTTAAGCCACCATTCTCTTTAGGAAACTGTTTCCCTCCCCCAGACCTAATCCCACCTCCTTCACAGTAGAAAATCCATCGCCCAGATCCCTCTGGCCCCAGCCCCAGCCCGGAGCTGGAAGGTCGGCTTCCTGCCCAGCAAATCAAAAGCATCAGCCGTTTCTTGTCGCGGTGCGAGTCTCCTTTTCCTAAACTGGCCTCCCGTCAGCCCAACTCCGGCGCGGACACTTAACACCAAGTCCAACCTTTCCTAACTCCCCACCCACCGTGCTGGGCGAGAAATTACCTCCAGGACCCACGCGGGCGCGGCTGCCTCCACTCCGCCCCACGGAAGCCAACCGGAACTACCATTCCCAGAATCCCCGCGGCTGGGCGCGCGTCGGCCGCACGCGCGGCGTCTGACGCACGCGGTGAAGGTAACCGACCTTCGCCCGGCCTTGTGGGGACCGCCTGGCCCTTCCCGCTCCTTCAGTACTAGCCACTCAAGGGGGAGTGTTTCGCCATGAAAGTCTGGTGAGGTCAGTTCACCCTGGAGACGACCAGCCTCCCATTCGGCCGCTCTCGAAGACGACCTCCGGATCCGCCCCTCGACGCGCCAGAGACCTAATAAGGCGCTTCCGCTTCCGGTTCGCATTGGCCCCGCCCACCGCGCCGGCTGAAGAGCGGGCATTGGCTCTGCGCTGCCGCCGCCGCCGCCGAGCTGAGTTCTCGGGGTTTTAGCCTGGCGGCGGAGAGTAGGGCTCTCGGGGTCGGTCAAATCCTGAGAGCGTCGCGGGATTTGAACTAACAGACAGTATCGTTCAAACTAACCTGTGCCTAAGAGGTGCCGCTACGGTGGTGCAAATCGCGGACTCCAGGGTAAACAGGCATCATCAGGCAGTGAAAATGTACTCCTTTTCAACTCTGCATAGCCAAAGTGTGAGTTCCCCTGGATCCGCTGTTGTTGGCTACTAGGGCAATGGTTTGTCTTCAGATGGAAAGGTGTACTCGAGGGGTACACACAGAAATAAGTTGTTCTTTGGGCGACTTGCAATACTATAGCTTTCACGTACAGGCTTAAAGTCTGGTGGCATGAGCAACATGGGTCGGGTCTTGATTCTGTTTCTGAACGGGTGGGAAGGGGGTGGTGGTGGTGGGGGTCTCTCCATATTGTACAGTATATTCTCAGGTTACCCAGCTAGCTTCAACGAAAAATGAGTCATGAATGTCAAGGGGGACAGTACACGTTGGTGTGAGCCGATCTCTAGGGCGCTGCTCCTAACAGGCCTTGAGGTGCACCGGACACCCGGACGGTTGGGAAGGACATCTGAGAGAAGCACATTGGTTAGAGAGAAGAGACTGGACCCAGTCAGTTCTACCTTGGTTAGTACTGCGGAAGAAAAGTTGACCTTTTACAAAAAGGCTGCCCACCCACCATTTCAAAGAGGCTCAACGGATGCCCACTTGGGGGAGCTATGCGGACTTGGGGCAAGGCAACCGTAAAAAAGTATCTTGACGCAACTTGGCAACTGTCTTATGTGTGTGGTTTATTATCTCAGTCTTTCCAGTAGACTGAGGTCTCTATATGGAGGGCCCTTTGCAACTTATGTCAGAGCTTCACTGATTTCTTGACTGAGTCTGGCACCACATTTAATCAGTATACTGCGCAAATAATCCAGAAACTGGATTACACTGTAGCATGTGTTAAATACTGTATGAAAACTGAAACAAGCGCCGTCACCTAAAGAACTAACCTAAGGAGCACAGAAAGACGATGTTGAAAATACAGTGAACCCTCGTTTATCGCGGTTAATCGGTTCTAGACCCTACCATGATAAATGAAATTCCGCGAAGTAGGATTCCTTATATCCAAAAGTTTTACCTTTTCCTGGATGGTGAGCATCTTCCTCTGGCGCTTATTTTTATTGTCAGAAGGCTTAGAAGAAGCAGCTTGTTTAGGAGCCATCATAGGATTTAGATAAAATTTATTAAAAATCGCAAACAATTACAGTACACTGTACAAAAGCAAAAATGCATCTGATACATAGCTCCGATACGTAGCGATGCAGACAGAAGCGTGTACAGTATGAGCCAATCAGTGGCAGTAATGACAGAGCATGCGCTGTTACGCAAAAACCGCGATAGAGTGAAGCCGCGGAAGTCGAAGCGCGAAGTGGCGAGGGTTCACTGTACTTGTATTTCACAGGGTCTCGGGATGACGTCTTTGATAAATCATCTTCTCAACTATGACGTAGCCATACTCCAAACCGCCACATAAAGCCGTAATAAAAACATTTTTAATTCCGACTCATTGCAACCCTTTATGACAGAGTAAACGTGTCCCATTTAAGGTATAGTACCAATAGCAAACTCGCCACCAATCCTCTCCCCACCCACTCAAGTCAAGGAACACAAGATTCTGGGACTTCATCACGGCACCCTTTGCTCAACTATCACATGGGATGTCTCCTTAACTCACTCATTGCCTCTGAGTCTATTAGACGCTGTAGGGCAGACTGGAGCTAGACCATCGGTTTTCCATGGCCATATCTTTATGGAAGCAGATTGCCCCATCTCTCTCCTGCTCAGTGGCTCATGCGTTGAAATCGTTGACCTGTGAGCAGTTCAGTACTGAACCACAAAGCTCCCTTTGGGTTTCATTCAGCCACTCCCCAAATCAAAGACACCTTGATATGCACAAGAAGTTACAGATCCATTCCCTTGACTCAGAAGCTCAGGGCCAAGAAAGCATCTCCATCCCCACCCACCCCCAACACCCTTGGATTTTCTAGCCTTAGCCCCACCCCTTCTGACAGGAGATAGTTTATTTGCTCCTGGCTGAACTCGGGCCCCACACCCCTAGGTGACTAGTGTGACCAGAGGCACTCTTGTTTCTTCCCCAGACTAATCCCACAGCCTTCAAAAAAGAAGGCTTTTTTACCCAGATGGACATCCTGAGACAGCCCCTCCCCTTAAATTGGCCCCCTCACCAGCCCAACTCCACCTTACTGGATCAAGAATCCAGGAGGGGCTGCCTCCATCCATTCACCCCCAAGAAACCGACCATAACTATCATGCCCACGACCCACGTGGCCTAGGTGGTACCCATCAGTGGTCACTAGAGTGTTTCTGAATCCTGAGGTCAATCTCCCAGAAAATCACCATTGTGGTAACAGTCTCACCAATCTCTCTTCCCCAAATGCCTATTCATGCCTATTCATTAAACAGGTAAGGGGTGAGTAAAATTTCAGTTCAGTCCATCCACTTCAGAGATTACCTGGGAAGCCCATTTACATCCTGATCAATCGAGTCCTCCAGCGTGAGATGATGTAAGAAGGTACTTCAGGTTGGCAGGTCTGACCTGCCAAGCCCTTGGCTGCCAATAACAGGCATTCCACCTCTTTTTCTGCTACAGCTAAGTTCTCTGAGTTGACACAATACACTTGCTGAAGTAGAAGGGCGGCTAAAATGAGGAATGCTTTCAACCAGATGGATTAACACCATAGCTCCAACAGCGGGCTCAAACTGTTGTGAGGGGGGCCCAGGCCCAGACATGGTTATGTTCTGTTGCACTTACAGTCCACGAGTCTCAACTGACATTCCTCACATTCACTCTATCATGTTGGCTGGCATCTCTTGCAGCACAATGATGAGGACGCTCAAGACTGATGGAGCCCTAAGAGGGAGCACTGCAGGGTTTGGGCAGTGTATTGTTTAACGTTTAACCAGAAACTGTGCCTGGGAGTTGCAGAGACATTGTTCCGTGGCAGGCAGGGAGCTTCTGGTCTTTTCTTGGAACTGACTTATCCTGGCATAGTACTTACCGGTACCTGTCTGTCATGACTGTGGATCTCCATGCTGGATTTTGCTGGTTGTTCTTTGAGCTTTCTGTGGATTAACTCCAAAACAGACAAACCCAACCCATGACATCCAGTCAATTCCGACTTAATGGACTCTACATGACAGAGTAGAACGGTCCTTCTGGGTTTCCTAAAGGAATTCTCTACAGGAGCAAGCCTCCTCTTTCACCAAGGAGCAGCTTGGGGGGGGCAGGGGGGAGTGTATTCAAACAGCTGACTGTGATTAGCAGTTCATCGTGTAATCCCATTGCTAATGGGGCTCTTTACAGAGCTTCAAATTCCAGTGTTGAGCAGTGTTATTTAATAGGGTCCTCTTATCTTAATAGAACTTTCCTGTGAGGTTTGGTCAGCTTTGCTATCCCATTTGGCTTGAAATTAGTCATCCAAAAAGCAGAAAG